TGGAAGGACAGATTTAACAGAAGATGATGCAGTTCAAGAGTATATTGATGAATTGAATGAGAAAAATATCAAATTAGAAGATGAGCTTAGAGTAATGAAAGAAAAATTTGAAAAAGATTCAAATATTTTGAATGAAGAAAAGTCTAAACTCAAGGAAGAAATTGAAAATATTAAAAAAGAGCATAAGGCACAAAAAGAGGAATATGACCGTAAAATGCATGAAATGGAAGAATTGCTGCTGGAGATGCCTGCAGATACGACTGAATCTAGCTCTACTGCAAATGTTAGCAGTCCTGTGCCACCACCCCAACCTATGCCATCCATTAATAACTTATTAAATGAAATAGAAATCAAACAAGCAATTATTGAAGAATTAGTAGCAAAATTAAAAAAAAAAGAGGAACAATTAGAATATTATCAAAATGCATACCTTTTAAAGACAGAAGAATTTGAGGATTATGTTGAAAAAACACAAGCAGCACAAAGTATAGCAGCTGTCGATACTACAACAACAACAACAGTAGCAACAGTAGTTGATGATAACATGAATGGTAATAGTCCTCCTATTGTTGACACAAAAAATAAAAAAAATAAGGAAACATCGGTTAATAATAATAATAATAATAATAACAATAATATCAGCAGTAAAAATGAAATTGAAGATTTGTCATTACTACCTATTACCAGTGATATTATGGATTTGTTTGAAATATCAGCTATTGAACAACTTATAGCACAACTGGAAAGAACCATAATTGAAAGAACTACAGAACGAGATGCGGCACATCAAAGAGCAACAGAAGCAGAAGCAAAATTGGTAGCATTTTCTAAGGAAAAAATGAATTGGGGAAGTGGATATGATACATCAGTTAAGAAATTAAAAGTACAAGTTCAACATCTACAAGAGCTATTACAAATGGAACGAAAAGCAAATTTGAGAAAATTAAGTTGTGAGAACAATAGTACTAATAATGATGATGATCTTGATAATAGGCAGCAATTGAATATTTTATTGATTTTATTTATTTTTTAGATGGTAACTACTTCAATCTACACAAATCATAATAGGCAGCAATTGAATATTTCTGGTGGCAGCAACAGCAACAATAACAACAACAATAGTAATGAAATTCAAACTCCTTCCCCTTCATATTCTTCTTCTTCTTCTGCTACTGCCATTACTACTACTGAAAATAAAAACAACAATAATAATTCATCTAAAACACAAACAACAACAACTACTACTACGATGATGAGCACAACAACAACGACGACGACAATTATTTCAGAACATGAAAAACTTTGTAATCAGGTCGAATTATTAACTAGAGAAAATACCAAGTTGAAATCAGAACTAATTATTTCTGAAAAGATTAGAGAATTGACACATGATAACACATTAAAAATTTTAAAAAAAGCAAACAAGTCCAGTTTAATCATAGACAATAGTAGTAATGATGATATAGTTGAGATAAAAAAATCAATCACTGATAAAGAAATGGAGATTAACGTGTTGAAAGGAAAATGTATAGGACTTGAAAGTGTGATTAAGAAGCAACGTGAATTGTTAGCATCAGTTATTCCATCAGTTTTTAATGATGGTGATAATTCACTAAAAAGTGTTGACAAAGCTCTTTCCAATGGAAAGGAAGAGGAGGAAGTTAATGATCCTATAATAGCTGAAGAGGTAAACGAAAACACGTTGAAACATTTCAATCAGTTAAAAGAAGAAAATACAATATTTAGAAAGGCATTCAATTCATATAAACAACAACAACACGAACAACCAAATCAAAAATATAAAACTAACAGCAATACTAATAATAATGTGAATTCATTAACAGTTGATGTTCTAACATCTAAAATAGCAGAGATGGAAGCACAATTATTAAATCGAGAAAAGAAATTACAAGAAGTTATTGACGAGACCAAAAGACATGGTGAAGTACAAATAGAAAGGTTAAAATCAAAATGGAATCTCAATTCATAAAATTGTACATAATGATGTATGTGATTTATAGATAGAAGAAAGAGATCGAATGAAAGAAATAGATAAAATAGAAAGAACATTATTAATATCTTATTTATGTAACCAAATCATTTTGTAAAAAGGTTCTTTATTATATTTAATTAATTAAATTTTTATTATTATTGATAAATTTTTATTATTATTGATATCACTCATTATAATTTTATTGTTTTTTAGACGTAAACAAATATTTTAATATTTTTTTGATTGAATTCTTTCACGTCAAAATACTTTATATAAACTTTATTCACACATGTGTATTATAATATCATTCGTTTTCTTAAGTAACACCCCTATGTAAAAATAATAATATGAACTTAATTTACATCATCCATTATTGAACCCAAGAATCAAAGCACAATCAGAAGTATTTCGAAGAAAAAAACAGAGAGAAAAATGCTCCTATATTTTCAAAATAATAATACAATATGTAAATTTGTTGACAAATAAAATAATTTTTTGGTTTTATTAAAAATTATAAATTAGTTATATGACTTTGACTTTCTTCTCTTTGAAAGTGGATAATCATTTTCATCGACATTAAACTCACTTCCTAAAGATACATTAATTGAATTACTTTCTGCATATACATAATCGTGCAACATTTTGATAGCAGGCTCTTCAGAAGCTGGTCGGTAAAAACATATTTCAGTATCATATTCCCAGAAAAATTCCCAATAGTTATTGAGATCATTTAAGAGTGATAATACATTGTTATTTGAATAATGATTAGCCACGAGGAGCTGAGCTTGTGTTTGAAACCTTGTATTTTGTTTCACCTGTTCTTTCTTTTTCAATTCTATAGTTACTCTGATTCAAGAAACTTCTTGCCCATAAGCAACTGAATACCTTTATTAAGAATTACAACATCGGTTGTACCTTTCAAATCAAAAGGGTGCCATAATTGATCCACTGCATTGAGAAAATTCGCATTACTTCTAGCATCATACCACTCGAGATCCAACGGTAAAATTATTATCTGTTTTAAATATTCCATATATCTACTATATTGTTTGTCTTCGTTGATGTCATTGTTCCAATTGAAAGAATTAATTTCATTTATGTTATTTTTTAAAAAGGGCAATCTATTGCTATGTATTTAAGTTTTAATAAGTTTTGGATCTGATTCATGTGTTGAATCCCAATGCTTGATAATGACGTTGACTGATTCTAATCTTCGGGAAAATTCTAGAATAAAGAATTTAGTTAGTTTCTGCCATTATATTTATATATGAAACCGAAATTAGTAGTTACTGTCTAAATATTTTGGTCGAAATGATTTTTCTATTCATATTATGTATCATTATGATTTGTGTAGATTGAAGTAGTTACCATCTAAAAAATAAATAAAATCAATAAAATAAACCTTCCATCTTTTTTTTTATCTATTTAGAATTAAATTCATTTCGGATTGACAAAAAAGGGGCAAGACTAAACTTGCTAAAATATCAATGCAAAAATGGCCATCAAGCTGGATTAAAAAAATTTAATTTATTATTTATTATATATACATAATAAAATGATTTATTATTTTCCCAACCAATTAAAATAATAAATATAAAAATTTATATAAAAAATCCTAAAACCTGATCAATCCACTAATTTCTGACAATCATCAAACTTCATTGTAAAGGGTTTAGGTCCTCTCCAATTCTTTGTTAGATTATAAAAAGAATTGATATTAACAGTAAAGAAATAACAAGGAAGTATTATTGACTTTAATTTTTTTGGTAATGATTGATTTAATACTGAAAGTATTTTATCACCATCTAATGTATACATATCCTTACAAGCAATTTTAAATACAATACTTTCTAATTTAATACAACTATTGAATAATTCTGTTAACTCTTGGTTTAATTCATTATTATAAAGTATTGATAAGCCTACTAGATTGTTACAACATTGTGCAATTGATTGAAATAGCCTTCCCAAAATTCACCACAATTTGAAGCACCACCAATAACCAGATATTTAAGATTTTTTCTGTTGATATTAATAAAATCTGAAAAATCTGACAGGGATGGTTCATTATAAATATCACACATATATAATGACACAGATTCAATATTTGGCAGTGAAATATCTTTCAAATATTTTGCTTGTTCATTATTACTACAAAATGATAAAGTTTTCAAATTGATAAATGCTGTTAATAACATATAATCCATATTACTTAATCCGTTACTTGTATAATAAATTATTGATTGTGAATGTGCAAGAATTGCTTTTTTGAAATTATCTGATAAGGGTTGACTAAAGTATGAACTAATGTTTAATTCCTTTATTTGATTTTGTGCATTAATTAGTTGAGCCAGACTATCTTGAAGTTCATAGTTGTATCTACCATACATTTCTAATGATTGAATACCTTTGCAAATATTTGCTAATTTATCAGTAAATTCATTGCTAATAGTATCATAACAAACTAATTTATTAAGATTCTGAAAACTATTATCAAATTTATAATAATTATTTACCAAATAAGAAGGCATGTCAGCAGTACAAAGCTCTCTAATAACTGCTGAATGATCTAAAATAAAATTTACTAATCTATTTTGTAAAATACCTAATTTGGAAGTGTTTGCCAGTGATTGAAGATTATAGTAATGACTGAAATAAAATCTAGTACAAAATCTAGCATAATTATATAATGGTGATTTATCCAATAGCTCAAAAGTCAATTCAATGCTATTTCTTGTTAAGAAATCCTTATCTTCTTCTAATAAACAATTGATTATTATTTTGGTGCTGTTTTTAGAATAAAAAGGATTTTTCCATAAATTTGGAATATTAATATTGTGCCATTGTTTATTGACAAGAATGCAAGAATATAATGTTTTATAATTATCATCATTGTATTTGAATATTTCAATCAAAAGCTCAGGTGGTAAAGTCATTGTAAAGAAAAAAAATTTAATTTTTTATTTGTTACGCAATAAAATGATTAATAATTAAAATATAAAATTTTCAATAAACTCCGGGGCCATGAGAACCTCGTGGAATTCAGTTGCAACATATTATTGGGTGTCACAAGTCAGATTAGCCTTATATACACGAGGAAGATGAAAATGACTGTAGTGTTTTAGGTAAAGTGTACCCCAACGTAAATTTCGAACAATCAATTCAAATCATCACGGATTCTCGTCCTATCTTCAAACAGTCATGCTGCCTTTTTTGTTTAATATTAATGTTAATGATGGTTACGAAAGCAAATACACCAATCATTCATTATCTTGGCAGAGAATTTTATGATAATTACCTAGGAGATATGACATCTGGCCCCGCGTTTAATTTCAATAAGATATTTGTAATAATATATATTAAACGCAAAAAAAGGGCCTCTGGTTGTTAACAAATAGCACCTCACCTCCTTCTTCTTTAGAGCCAAATAACAATATTTCTGGCATGACTACTGATGAATGAGTGGCTGTTCACTTGTCTTGGACTCTGTCTAAAAGAATTGATTGTTTTTTAAAAAATTTTTTTTGATTCACTCCAAATACAAAGAAAAAAATAGAGGCTTCGCACAAATACTATTACGATGCCAGTTCACTAGCACCATTTGATTTGTTTTTAGTCATTAAAGGAATATATGAAAATGAATTGATATTTTCATTAATAAACAATAATAAAATTTTACTAAATCACATAAATATTTGACTAAAAAATTATGATGACAATGATGCTATATACAAATGTGATGATAGCAATCTATAGTTTGATACTAAAACTAATAATAATAATCGTAATAACCGTAATCATTGTAATAATGAACGAAGATATAGTACAAGAACAGGATCTTAATCAAGATCAGTTTAACAAGACCTTGATAATTTAATCGTCAAGAACAATATCTTAATCGAGTTAGTCGTCAAGTACAATATCTTAATCGAGTTAGTCATAAAATAAACGTTCTAATAGGATTTTTTTTTTTAGGTAAGATTGGTGTTATAGATTAGGACTATTGGGAAATAAGACGTTGTAGAAGAGTGACCATTATCGAACAGATCGAACAGATCGAGTGAGCATTGAGCTGATAAAAAAATCAAACACAATTTTTTGGGAAGCATGAGATGAAAAAAATGAGACGTTTCTTTGATTTAGTTAAAAATTATTTTTTATTTATTTTATTAATTTATTTATATAAATATATATTATTTATTATTTTGCTAAATCTAATTATTTTTCACTATTCGTTCACCTGATGTTAAAAAAATTTTTTGATCTTTCCTTACCTTTTAGGTTTTATTTTTTATTTTTTATCTACCACGTCCATCAACGTGGACAGAAGGTGTTGTTTTATGTAACATTTGTTTGATTTTTCATGCGTTGTTCATTTTTCGTCTTGATCACGTATCTTAATTTCGTTGTGTTTGCGATCATTTCATTGACATTTGTTATGTTAAAGTTATTTTGATTATATTGTGAGATATGGTCAAGAGTAGTACGATTATTTAATTTATTAGACTGTTTCAATGGTTTGTCGCGTGGTTGCTTCCAACCTCTTAGATTCGTTAACGAAATAATTGTTGGTGAAGTGATTGTTGACAAAATGAATCAAACCCATATCTATTTCTACATTATCAAATTCACGATTTTAATTGGTCAATCAACAAATTGCGTGGGTTAAAGTTTTGTGTCCCCAGAACAGTCTCCTGCTCACTTGCACATCCTCGATTACAAAACTTGTTTTTTAATGATTTATTTTTTTGTCCACGATAAATAAATTTATTTGATAGTTCATTTATTTTATTTATCATATGATTTTTTAATAATATCACGCACGATCACATTCATATTGACACACGTCTTGAATAAATATTATGTTGTTTTTGGTAAATAAGCATAATCTTTAATAAATTTTTGAACAAATCCTTCGAAAAGTTTTAAGCTCAAAATTTCAGTTTTAACTGAAAGTTAATCTGGAGGGATCATCAGTCTTTGTAAAAACAGTGTGCCCGGCTACAATATATTTAGAAATTCTTGTCTTATATTATTAAAAGACATCTTTACTGATAAAACATCAAACTGTCATGAACATGTAGGCAAACCCCAACGAATGTATATAATTTTACTAATATTGTGACTAAATACTAGCAATTGATTATTATTTTTTTAATAGAACACCAACGAAGGAAGGGTATAATGGTAAAAGTAGATAAAAAATAATATGGTTTATTATAATGATAGTGAAATCGAGATAATTTCGACTTTTGGCATCAGCAAAACGACCAGAGCTGCATGTATACTCTTGTCCCAGAGGATTGCTGTTTTATGGGAAAATTTTTTAACCTAATTTTGATTTCTAAAGACGACATAATTGCGTTAGAGTTCGAAATCTTAAATTCATTTCTAAAAAAAGAAATTATCGGCATTGATGATAAATTTAAAGATCAGCAATACCACTATCAATTTTGTCTTTTCTTACCAAACAAAACCATTAAACACGATCCATTATAAATAAAGTTGGATTAAATCTACAAAATTACTTTAATTAAATCATATATAGGTGGGTTTATGTTACATAAAAATGCGCACATTTTCTTTTATTTTAATAAATTTATATTGAATAACTTATTTATTCTTTCTTTAATGTTCAAAGTAAAATATTGACCATTTAGTAAAATCATTAAATGAATATTCAATGTATACATGCATTTTTGTTTCTCAATTTGTTTTTATCAGATTTGCTTGTGAAAATATTCTTTCAACATGTGCATTGGAGAAAGGTATAAGGAGTGCTAAAATAAAATACATTTCTGTATTTTTACAGGGATGCAGATAGAATTTTATAAAGTTTTGTGAGTTTAACAATTTCCATTAAAAATTCTATTTTACTCTGACAATAGGTTTAAAAAATGGGAATTATTCTAATATATAATAAAAAATAAAAATATGTCTGTTTATTTTTGGTTATCAATAAAAATAGGATTATACCCGAAAAATATCAATTATTTATTTAAATAAATGTCTGCTTATTTTTGGTTATCAATAAAAATAGGATTATACCCCGAAAACATCAATGATTGATTTTATTAATAAAAATAGAATTATACCCGAAAACATCAATAAAAGTATTAGTACACATTAATATTAAATAATAATAATAATCGGATATTTTCGGGTACACGAATTTTCCACGCAAATAGATTATTGGTTACCTTTTTAATGTAATACAATTATATATTTAAAAGTAAATTGGTCAATAAAAAGAGTCTGAAATTCCAAAATTTTACATATATATAGTAAAATGCCTCAACTTTGAAAGCCAATAATTTTATGACAATTAAAAGAGTAAACCGATAAAAACGAAATTTAAATCTTTAGCTTTAATTTTCTCGGTTTACTTTTTTCATTATCATAAAGTTGTTGGCTTTCAAAGATCATCGATTAAAAAATTTCCCCAAATTGGACATTCCGATACACATTCCACAAACTTCCAAACATAATCATTCAATATTAATGTTTTGCACAGTTAGTTAAGCTATCCTTTTTTGTACTAATACTATAATTTAAAAACAAAGAGGGAGATTTGGAAACTATCTGCAAAAAAATCACTATTCCACGCATTTCTATAAAAACAAAATCATTCACTCAAATACTTCATTTTATTTAAGAAAAAAATAATGAGTAAATCATTATATAACAGTGTTGATTCTGTGGGAGAAGCATTTAGACCTTTCGTTTCTTTAATAGCCACGGCAAAAACTATAATACAACAAATTGAGAATATTTATGAGAATGCACAATATAATAAGAGAATTTGTAATGTATTTTTGGATCGTGTAGATGCTGCTCCAGCTTACATTAAAAAACTAGAACGTAAAAAACTAGAAAATGAACACCTTTTTCGTGATGGAAATTATCAAAATCATTTTTTACGTTTTACCACTGTGTTATTCGAAATAAGAACATTTCTTAAGGATATTACTCATCTTTCTGGATGCAGTAAATATAGTTCAGCAAAAAATTTCAAGGAGATGTTTGAAAAACTTACTCGAGATATTGATAATGTTATGAGAAATTTAGAGTTTAAAACGACTGTTGCTCCTGAGGAGCAAAAACGAATTGATCAACGAAGTCTAGAAGAGGATTATGAAGAAATGGAAAAGGTTAAAAATTATTTATACGCATATTATAATCAATATATTCTTGATTATCATTAAATCAATTTCATATATCCTAAAATCTATATTATATATCTTTTTAAAAAAATTAGTTTTTGGAGTCAATTCATGGTGGAATTGTTGATGATAACAAACGAATGAACACATCTTTGCAAGAAGTACTTATTATCAAAAATCAGGTAGAGTCAAAAGATAAACAAGATTCTAATGATAATCCTATAATGGCAACTCAAATATCATCAACAATGTTACAAGATCCTATGTATATAAAAGAATCTGATTACCGAGGAAAAAAAAACCAAATTTGCAAAAAAATTTTGAAAGATGATGATCATAAAGAAGTTGCTTGTCAGCCTATAAAAATTCCCGATGAAGCTAGTTTACCGGTTGATTATCGAATTGTTCAGTCACAATTAGCTATTTTGGGAAAATTGCATGATTCAAATAATATATTGAGGTTCTATGGTCTTTCTACAATTGATGATGAAACAATTATGGTTCTTGAGTGGGCAGAACTTGGTGGTTTGGATGATGTTTATAATAACTATAAGATTAGTTGGCCTGATAAAGTATCAATAGCTCTTGAAATTTGTCGTGGGATTACATTTTTACACTCATGTGATATCCTCCATCATGATATACGTTGTGGAAATATTATGGTAATTGAAAAAACATATTATGTGTGCACACACATATATATATATATCTAAATAATATTTATTTTAAAAAAATTAGATGACTAAAAAAAAGGAACCAAAAATTGCAAATTTTGATTATGCTCGTAATGTTCAAGATACTACCAGGGAACTGAAAAACTTAACAGTTGTTGTTCATTGGTTATCTCCAGAAAAGTTATATAATCTTAAACAATCTTATAATTTTAAATGTGAAATATTTAGGTAAGAAATATGGCTTCATTTTTATTTACCATGTATGTAATATGTTTTTATTTTGTTAATATGTATTTCGTTTTGCAAACAAATTAGCTTCGGGATGTTACTTTGGGAGCTTGGATTTGAAAGAATCCCTTATGAAAAATGGGACATGTCACAAATTAAAGATTATGTATTAAGATACAAAAGAGAATTGGTTATTTATGATGATTCAGATAAAGAAATGTTAAAACTACAAGAAGAATATTCGGAGATTTTTATGGGTGGTAAGTTTTCAAAATTATAAATTCTAGGATTTTAATCTTTAGATAAAATAAAAGTATTAATATAGGCATCAATTATTCTATTATCCTGGATAAGCTTGGCAACATGAACCCACATTAAGGACATCTCTTCAAACCATTTTCTTTCAATTGAAAAGTTTGTCCGAAAAATGTGGCAAAAGAAATCCAAGCACCCCATTTCCAAAAAAAGAAAGTAATCCAGATGGCACTATAGTACGCAGTAAATATTCTGTTTCTGTTAGTGATAGTGAAGAAGTGCTAGAAACTAAACAAATTAATAAACCTGGTTCAATCACACAAATTATTCCGTTTGATGAAGGTTATAAAGCACATAAAAGAAAAGAGAGGCAAAAGGCTTGGGAATGCTTTAAAGCTCATGCTGAACTAGGAAACCCAGCAGCTAAACATTGGAAAGCATATTATATGCATGAGGGGTATTGTGGCCCCCCAGATAAAGAGAATGCAATTAAATTATATAAAGAAGCTGCTGATGAAGGAAATAGGGACAGTCAACTTCATTATGCATTTTCTTTGATGAATAGTAAGGCTGGTAATTTTGATAAGGAATTATTTATCAAGTATATGACATTGTCTGCTGATAATGGAAATGTAGCAGCTGAATTTAATTTGGGTGATCTGTATTATTATGGAAAACTTGGAGTTCCTAAAGATGAAAAAAGAGGAATTAAATTTTTGAAATTAGCTGCCTTGCACAAACACCCAAAAGCAATTGAACTATTAAAAAAATTGGAAATTGATGTTTATAAAAGTTGAAAATTTACATTTAGTATTTATTTATTTATTTATTTATTTATTTATTTATTTATTTATTATTGGTAAACTAAAATTAATAAAATTAATAAATTTCAATTAATATTAATCAAAGTATTATTTTTATTTCGAAATCGGCGATTCGGCATCACGGTATAATAATAATAATAAGCCGAAATAAATTCGATGTCCTAAAGTTGTAAAAGTCATAAATCGTAAAACCATAAAGCCATAATTATTTACGGTAGGTATATGTATATACTGTATCACTTATTTTTATAACACAAAAACAAAAAACTATCTAATAATTCTTCAGTGAAAATTGCTTCAAAAGAGAATAATGTCTGCCTACTTCATATTGATTCTTGAAATGGCCCAAAAGTTTTGATTCCTTTATAGCCCTTTGCTTCTTTGATTAATATCATTTGTTATTAAACCCATAGAACTCTTTCTATACCTCGGATAACCATTAATGAGAAAGGCTCTCCGTGGTGAGAATTTTTTTTAATAAATTTTTTTTGAATTATAACGTGGTTATTTATTAAAATACTTAGTTATGTACACATCAAGAATTCAACCTATTTGTACAGGATTGATTTATTTATAATAATAAAATCACCAACTTAGTAGTAATAATAGTAGTAATCATGGTAATTGTAGGTGATTGTGGCAATAATCACGGTTCATTATATCCCAATCAATTTGGGATCATGTTATTAACATGAAATACTGCTAATAGAATAAAAATATTTTTATTTATAAAAATAAAAGAATGTATTCTGTCAGGAGTAATCTGCGCACTTGATGATAATTTGACAGGAATGTACAGATTTTGATGACAATGAATGGCCCGCTGATGTTCAATGTTATTAAAGAACGTGAGGATTTGGTCATACATCAAGGGAAAATTGGATACTTTGCATGTAGGAGGTTAGGGTTCAGATAATAAAAAGAAAAAGAAATAGAAATATATAAAATAGAAATATATAAAATAGAAATTTTACAAAAAATATATGGTACGTGTCCCCATACTCATCAAAAATTTTCATGTAACTTCTAACTGTATATAGTCCTCCAATTTTTGTGCAAATAGTTAAGTGATTCTCTTTGATTCAATGGATTAAATTTTTTTAATTGGATAATTTTAAAAATAGCCAGTTTTTAATATATTAACTAGACCTGTAAAAAAATATTAGCATTGCTTGTATATCTAGTTATTATTATCTTAATATTTACCTTTTTGTATTTTAAAAAAGTCATGTGAAAAAATCCTATACATTCATGACCACAAATTTTATAGAGATATAAAAACTGTTCTCCAATTTCATCATGCCATCCAGTTTTTGCTTCATTAACGTTCATATAACTTTTTAAGGTTGAAATTGAAGGCATATGCATTATTGACTTAATTGTATTATGGCTCAACAAATGAGCCGACATTATACATATAAAATTATTGAACATTTATTAAAATCAAATTTACAAATTAAAATTAGAATACAATTTTAAATATTACAATTTATTTTTGTTGTTGCACAGAATTTGTATTAACTCTTGAAGGATTGGATTTAATTTAATATCTATCTGATTATTAACTACATTTTCTTACACATTTTCTATGGTGCGAATCATCTAAAGACATCACGTACTGCGCCACTGCCGAAATTTTTTTGTGCCGATCTTGCTTTATAAAGAACTCAATATATAAAAATAAATCCCAATTTGTAAAAGATTCGCGACTTTGTCACGTGAATCATCGGTAAATCGTGAAAATAATCGGTAAATCGTGGTTTAGACGGTTGCCGAAATTTCAAATAACATAGTAAAGTTGCCCAACTTTAAGCCATTATAACTTTTTGTTTTACTAAATAACTCAAAAAAAACTTTCTATTACATTATTTCTCATGTCAAAAAGATTGCAAAAATAGAGAGTTTTTGGTAAAATGGCCCATATTTAATAAAGTATCAGCATTTAAAGATTGCCAACATTTTGTGATGTCTTTAGATGATCGGCACTATATTAAATTACTCATTTCTGTAGATATAGATGCTTGTAGTTGTTTAATTTCAACAGATTTTTGCTTGATTATCTAATAAAAAATATATTAATTTATATATTTATACGTGAGGGGTTCAAAAAGTTTTGACACTGTGCAATTATCTTGATGATCCTCAAATGTTTCCCATTTTGAGAATAATCATTTTATAGCTTGGGTAACATCCAATAAGTAATAGAAAATTTGGCACAACTTGATTTGACAATTGTGGAGAAATAATTTTTTCAATATTGCCTATTAACAATAATGGAAAATACTACATGTGAAAACCAACAATACTACATCTGGGTATGCTGGAAGAATGGTAAAGATGCTACTGATATCCATAGGGAGTTGGTCACTGCTGAAGGGGACAAGGCACTATCCAAACATACAATTTACTGCTGGATTGAGGCATTTGAAGCTGGACAATTAAGCATTGAAGATGCCCCTCATTCTGGACATCCCTGTGATGCTGTCACACCTTCAAACATTAATATCATTAAAGACCTTATAAATGACTACCCCCATATTACAATTGATAATATTCAGCAAGTGGTTCCCATTTCAACTGGAAGCATTGAAACCATCTTACATGAAGAAATTTCTGTCAGGAAGGTGTGTGCAAA